CGTGAGACGCGATTCATGTAGAATCAATCGCGAATGAAAATTACGATGTTTAGACAAGAGAGAAAAACGAAAATGTTTTGTTTCGCGAACGTACTTCGAAAGAAACGCGCACGTCTTGTTTCGTAAGGATTAAGTTGTAATGTACCACGCGTACCGAATTTATCGGTAATTTCAAATGAAATATTATCGCTTATGGATACGCGTGAAAAATGTAGAAAATTGATAAATTCGACAGACATAACATTTATCAAGCCAAACAAGATAAATAATGGTGAATTTCACGTGCGATGGCGCAATTCTGATCAAATTTTAACATTACACGCTACTCGAAGCAGTTATATTGATTGAATCGCAGCAATAATTCCATATCTTGATTTCAATATAATAACAAACTAAAGCATTTATATCTGTATCTTCTAATGATTTAGAATAAATATAAAAGAGAGAAATGTATATTATATCTTAAAGATTCTGTTGTGTAATACGGTCATTAAAAGACACGATCTCCTGATTATTTCGAGCAACGTGTGAAAAAAGTATAATTAAATCGCATTGAATTTCTCGAGATATTGCAAACACCCATCACCATAAAAATGTTTTTTCTTCTCTGACTCACCGATACACAGCAGACAGAGTCAGCCGCGTTCCGCTGCGGATCTATAACAAAAAATATAGTTTCGTTAGTTAAACCGTCAGGTTAAAAGTTAGATTAGATTGAGTTCAATTCGCAGAAGCGCGCGCGCGCAGATACAAACGTTGACCCTTTGCCATTGTAATTCAACGGCTTTTATTGCAATCGCTCGGTTTTCGATCGCAATAAATCAAAAAGAAATGTACAAATGATCGGTGAACCTTACCTTCAAGCCGACTCTGCTCGGCCCGAACCGGATCCTCCGGTGCGGCATCGGCGTCCGTCGAAACTGCGTCCCGATAACCGCAGCTATCGCGTGGCTGCAAACTCCAGCAGATCTGTAACAAAAAACGAGTTTTCTCATTAATATTACAGCGACAAATGCGCCCCGCATCAAGAGTACGAAGACTCGGGACTACAAATTAGCTTCTTCAACTTAACTGAGTTAACCAATAAAAGTTTACCTTTAAAGACCATGAAACACTACTATTGCTCAAGTTGCTCCGGATCGTTACGCACACACACACACACACACACACACACACACACACATGCACGAATATTACACGTTACACGCGCGCGTACACTGTGATCGAACGTGAAAATTCGGAAATTATTACGCGCGGCGATCCGCCGATCCGTCCGCCGCCACGGCGTAAACATTAATGGAAACGGTCGCGGCAATTGCGTACTTATGAACATGTTGTTTTCAAAGTCACGCGACCTTGTCCCGCTGGGACGCATCTCAGAGAGCCCGTAACGTTGTATAAAACTTACCTTTTTAAACAAAAAGGTAAAAAGAGGCACCAAATACACGCGCAACACGTATTGTGTTATTTTTAGAAATTTCAAATTATTTTTTTTCAAGTTTATATATAACATAAAAGTTTACAAGTAAAATTTATAACTATAATGAAACTCTGCAACACTACTTTACAAGAGAAATGATATAAACGGCAATGTTTACGCTTTTAGTACTGTGCATCGTACCGCACCTGAGCGTGTATCTTTGGGCAATGTAATTTATAATTTTCGTTATACAAGTAATAAGTTTGTACAAGTAAAACTTATATCTCTAACAATAAATTCTTCTATTGAATACCTTAAATAAAGCTCTACAAAACTGTCTTACTAAAAAAATGATATAACAAAACAATAGCATCAACTGAAAAACTCTACCCAACATCAACTCTGCAAATGAGAGCAATTTGCAATCTGAAGATAAATGTATCGAAAACTCCGAATGATACACAGTCCAGTACTTTAAAAACAGTGTCTTCATTATTTACTAGAACACTGAGTTTTATTATTTAGTGAGTTATTTTACTTGTTATTATAATAAATAAGTTATTATAACAATATAATAAAAAATATTTGATGCAAAAAGTCTTGGCTTCTCTCTCTCTCTCTCTCTCTCTCTCTCTTTCTCTCTCTCTCTCTCTCTCTCTCTCTCTCTCTCTCTTTCTCTCTCTCTCTCTCTCTCTCTCTCTCTCTCTCTCACTCCCTCACTCACTCACTCTCGTTCTCTCTCTCTTTCTCGTACATTTCTACTCTTGTATTCTAGCAATATTCTTCTTTCTCTTACTCTCTATCGCTTGCTCACTCGCACTCGCTGCTTTTTCAGCGCGCTTATAACACCTCTGATGTCGGAAAAGTGAGATGCACAAATCCCCCTCCTCTGCGGTCTAGCGTTTCTTATTTTCTTACTGAATCGAAATTTTCCGTGATTTGGACTTTATTTTAAAATATCTACATTTAGAGACAACGTATACTAAAAACACAAGGACACTTTTCTTCCTATTTTTTAAGGCAGAATCGATTGGCACTGAAAAAACCTCGATCAGTTTAGCCATTATTGAGATATGAATATCTCACCTCGTTTCAACTAGCAGTTTCGCGTAATATAAGCACGGTATGCCTCGCGTCCTTCGTTGCGCTTGAACTTGGCGCGAGGCACTACCGTGCCACTTGATTCTCATAATTTGAATCACTCTTAAATTGTATCACTTATTGATTGCCTATATTATAAAGATACAATTTAGGAATTTTGACGGAAAATTACATTGGTTTTAAAGTCCGATTTACTATTGTTTTTAAAGTCCATAATCTATTTATTTCTTTCTTTTGTATTACCTATATTTCTTTTTTGTTTTAATTAAAAACAGACTTTTGCTCAATAGTTGTTTATTTCTTAATTAACTTTCTAAAAACAAAAATATTTTATTTTTGTAATTTTAATTTCGAGGATATAAATTTTGCGATTTTTAGTTACGTGGTTAAATATTGATTTTGTGAATATAAAAAGTCAACTTTCATATAAATACGGATATAATTTTAATAATTATTTTAATAAGTAATTTTAATATTTATTTTTATAATTAAAAAATGTTTTTTAGTTTTTTATACAAGCTATGATTTTAATTAATTTCTTGATTGAGTTTCTAACAAAAAAATATTTTGTTTTTGTAATTTTAATATTTACTTTTTTAATTAAAAATATTTTTTCTAGTTTTTTACATAAACTGTAATTTCAATTAAACGTGTAGTTATTTAAATTGCTTGTATTTTATATTTACCCTCTGACAGTTTTTAGATTAAATTGCTTGCAGAGGTTTAAAAAAAAACATCCACAGATGTTGTGCAAAAAATGTTGTGAAAAAACTATAGAATATCACAAACCTGATCAAGAATAATCTTCAATTAATTTCTATTTCACTTTTATTAAATATTTGCGTATTATAAAAAAATTGAAAACTGCTCCGACATGAGCAACTTGTGTAGATATCGACGATCTAGTCGTTATTCTAGTCATATCATATTCAAGCCGATTTGGATATGATACCGATTAGATCATGAACAATCGGCCGACACTTATAAATGTAATATCATCTAGGTATCAAATCGATATCGAGATATCGTACGTCGATAACTGTATGTCGACACGATATCGACAAGATGTCATTCGTATAAACGAACGAGAAAGTTTTCTCAGCGTCGCCAGCCATCAAGAATCTTCATCAAAGTCTCTTCTACGGATCGTCTTGACCAAACCGAATCGAGAAATCACCATCGATGTCGATTCGAACATCGACTTGTGAACCTGAGGGAGGACTTGGCATCGGCCGAAGGGACGTCTTGCTCGTAGACGCTCGCTCGCGGAGAATTAATTGCCGAAATAACCGCAGACACGAGGAATCGTTTAAGCTCACGAGCCGGGACATTGTTCGGCGCGGGCACACCCGCGCTGGAGAACGCGTGTCTCCGGACACGCGGGACATAATATACGAGGACAGTTACGGTTCTGGCCGACGTATATTATGTCCCGTGTAAGTGCACCGCCCTGGGCGTCCATCGCCCGTAGCACGCCGCGCGCGCGGGAGTACGCGCGAGAAGTGCGCTTCGTGAAAAATGAACTCGGTTTGTCCTAAGTTGAACGCCGACACTCTCGCAGCGTCACAGCGCGCGCGCGAAACGCGACTCTGCGAACTGTCGCGCGTCGCTCGCGGAGCGACTGATCGCGTGCGCTCGCTCGCTCGCTGTGCAAATATTTGACGACGCTGAGAGCGACGCGCGTGTGCCTTTTTCGCGCGTTTCCATTGGAAACAACCGCTTACTCAATATAAATCTGTTATTCCGCTCTCTTGCTTTCTCGAGCCCGCGCCCGTCGCGGCTCATTGGTGGCCACGGGACGTTACGTCGCGCGTATAACTGCGAGTATAAATGTTGAACTTTAATTTCGACTCGGTGAAAATAAATAAGGGAATCCTATTCTCTCTTGAATATAAGGCGGACTTTGTTTCAATAATATTTTCATTGGAGACCTCTCCGTCAACCGAGGGAGATTTCATTTCTGCCGTTCCGTACGCGCGCGCGCTCAAGCGCGTCACGAGACACGGCCGATTTATTCCTTCGTCACGTGGAATCGGTTGCGCGATAAATCAAATCCGCCGAGAAAAGGAAGTGTACGGTGCGAGAAACGACGAGTCCGCCACGGCTCGTCACGATCTACGCGCGGTACACGCGACGATGCGTGCGCTGCTTTTCGCGCGTGTCACGTTTAAATTGGGCGCACGGGGAGAAAAGAATGAAGGAAAAACCCAGGCCATTTCGCAGCTCGGCCCCGCGCCTGGTCTGGATTTTTCTCTCGCTACGCCTATTTTTCGTCGACTCTTCGCGAAATGACTCATTATCGCCGCGACTCAAAATAAACTACCGTGCGCTCGCTTTCGTCAACCTTATATATTTTTTCACAAATACAACTGGACGATGGATAGGAGAATATAATGTGGGAGATGAATAAACTATCTTTTATATATGCTATACATAAATAAAATTTATATATATATATATATTTATTTATTTATGCATACATAAAGTTATTATTATCGTTATTATATGTGTCAGCTAATTGCCAAGTGTCGAAAAGCACCCACCTCGAAATGCTTGCGATAACATAAACAACAGTACAGACGAGAACAAGGCTGGAACGGATCAGTTGAGGTTTCTCAAGTTAAATCTGATGAAATGTACGAGACACAAAGAGCGCGTTGAGGCGCAGCAGCGTAGGAAGAAGAAAGTACGGAAGAAGAAAGAAATTGTCTCGAAAAGCTTTCACGAGCAGAAAATGAACGACGATCGCTGGGCGGCGCCGATTAAACGAGCGGAGGCGGCCTTTGCTAATTGCGTCCCGCGACTTTAAATATTTTGACGTGGCCGAAATTTGGTCGCGCGTGCCGCCAGACGCCGCCGATGAGTTGCGCAAATATTTACGACCGTTCCTCCCTCCGCGATCCTCCTCCGGAGAGAACGGGAGCCCGACGCGGACGGAGCCGCGTTTCGAGGGATCCATTTTTTCCGTATTAAAATAAAATTAAACCAAAAGCCGCGTGTGACGAGAGAAGAATGGCCCGCATGAAAAATCACCGTCCGTCTCTCCGCGAAGAAAGGATATTACGGATGTTACGTTCCTCTTGCTGGAATCGTAAATCTTTTCGCGCCGCCGCCGCCGCCGCCGCCGCCGCCGCTGCCGTCGCCGAGTTTCGCGAGGTTTTACGAGACACAGACTGGGATACTCGTTGAGGCCAATAATTCCTCTCTGACCGACGAGTACTTGATCCTTCGTGCATTATTGGACGTAACTTTTATTCGAAACGCGCTACGCAAATGGCGTGCCAACCAACCGCTGAATAATCGATTAAGCCATTTGCATCATCAGGAGATTGGAAAAATATGTCTATATCACTGAAATATTTCACCCCCTCTCGCGCCCTTTAGATTTCATATCGAATGTAATAAAACGTAACAAAAACGCTTGATTCGCTCGCTGATTCGATCCATATTCAATAAAAAATCGCAATTACCCGCCGATAATGGCCGAGCGAAATGAACGGACATGTCGTCTGTTAAAAGCGGTGCATTATAAAGCGCACGATATTTATTTAACAATTACCGACGTTCTCCGCGGACCGCGGACTGCACGGTGTGCAGCGGTGACGATATTTTACAAATCACCAGCCGTAAACGTCGCTCGGCGTCAATTAGCACTTGCGACGGCGACGGCGACAAGTTTGTTACGCTTACACGGAAAGAGTCTCTCGGCGTCGACGGGAATTTACCAAGTGATAATCGAGACGATTAACCCTCTTTCCCTGTGCGATATTTCGCCGATATCCGATAGTCACGGCTCCGCTCGAGCGACGCTCGGAGCGGAGCGCGTCGCACGGCTCGCTCGCCCGCCCGCGCTCGTCAATTACCGCGCTAATTGATTTTGAGTGTAAATCTATGAGCAGCAAAGTTTTTCGACGGCGCAACACGTCGCTCGGCCGGCCGCGTCGGGGTTGCGGTTGCGGCGGGGTTGCGAGAGCGGAGCTCTCTCGCAGGCGAAAGCACAGTTGTTCTCTCACTAAATTTACGACGGCGGGAGGAGAGGAGAGGAGAGGAGAGGAGAGGCGAGGAGAGGAGAGGAGAGGAGAGGAGAGGAGAGGAGAAAAGAGGAGAGGAGAGAAGAACGCTCTGTAACCCTCCTTTCTTACGATCTCCTCTCTCTCTCTCTCTCTCTCTCTCTCTCTCTCTCCCTCTCTCTCCCTCTCTCTCTCCACGCCCGCTATTCCTACGTTTCCGTCGCCGTTAATGAGCCCCGATCGCACGGCGCCATATGTTAGCGCGCGGCGATACTGTTTGTTTTTCCGCGGCCGGCTTTTACGTCGCTCGTATCCCTGTCCGCTGACGTTCCGAATCCGCGTGTAAAATGTAACTTAACCGCTTTACTACGGCGCGCTCGCCGCCGCCATTAAACGCGTGCTCGATATTTTGGGTTTATGTTATATTCATGCGCCGACAATGGGACGGACGCGCGGCGCGGTGGAAATTTCATCGGCCTACGAAATACAGATAAGCAAACAGAGATATCCATCCGGCTGGATGGATATGGGCGATGATGGGGAATCAATCGTCCGATTGATTCGCGGACACGCTGATATTATTCGCCAAAGGGCGCGGCGTTGCTCCCCCGCGCGAATTTTATCGGCGCACTTTTGTTCTCGTCGTGTCGTCACACGTGTCGGCGGGAGCCCCAGTTGTCGTGATCGTCTCCCTGGTATTTTTAATTGGCAGTGCGCGTCTCCAGGGGCTCTATGGTCCGCCACTTTCCCTTCACTGTCCGGAAAATGAAACATCTGATTGACGCGATAGCCCGTTTACACGTCGCACGCGCCGCACGCCGTGAACCTCTGACCCGGAGAACATCAGTGTTACATACCGCAGACTGGAAAAGGCGCGAGACAGATTGCCCCCGGGCCGCAATCGTCGTCCTTTCTGCAGGAACCGTTCCTCCTCTGGCTATCGATTTCTCTTCTTCGCCGGTCGGGCAGGTGGAGGGCCAGGATTTCCTGTTCGCTCTTGCCGCGAAAGAAACGTCGCATTGATATTACAGCAAAGTATCGCGGAGATACGGAGATGTGAGTTTTGGAGGCGTGATTTATAACCGAAGGGAAAAATCACGCTCTTGGAAAGATCATAGTCAAGTATTCCAGCGAGAAAGAGAGAGAGAGAGAGAGTGAGAGAGAGGGGAAGGGAGAGCATCGCGAGACGATATTGTTATGTCAGTTGGTACGAGATCGCCACTTACGGACTCGCTGCTTGAATCGTCGTCTAACTCGACCACCCGAATATTCGGCTGCTCCTACGATGGAAGTACCAAGTGATATTAGCACGTAATGGCGGTGCGACACGATAGTTCGCACTACGCGGCCGATCGGCAAGATTAAGTCGAATCTTCGTACCTTCTTCTGCTGAACGATGCACGACTCGGCGGCGGCCGAGGCGATGTACATTAATAACACGACAAGTAGAAACAGGTTCATGGTGAACAACGATGCGCTCGGACTATTGACGCGCTCGGCGGCACGGCAGCGCGTCTTATAGCCGCGTCTCAAAGTGCTCGTCGCGAAATTGTTTCATCAGCGCGTGCTTATCGAAGTGTCGTTAAAGCGCGTCAAGTGGATTCTCGAAGGTCGCCTCGGCTCGGCCGGAAATTACGTAAATACGGCTAATTTGCTCGACGCCGCAACGTCGAGCACTCACGGGATTTGCCGCTCGTCTCCTTCGCGCGCTTATTTATCTAAATTGAAAAAAGTGAGAAGCATGTCGTAAAGCATTTTTATAATCGCCGGGACCTCACAATCTTCTCGAATGCGTAGCCGTCTCGGAGAGAACAGCGGTCTCCGTTAATTTTCTTTGCTAAACATTCGGGAACGAAGTAAGCGAGGTGACGGTTTATGAAGCTTTCAACATGGAATGTACCCTGCGTTGAGGTATTCGTTTTTGAAGGCCAAAACAAGAGAAGACTGTCCAGAGTTGGAAACACGTCCCGGTGCTTTCGCCTTCACTTTCAACTGCAGCGACATTTCTCTTTTTTTTTCCTCTCGTTTGTGATATTCCAAACTTCAGCGTCGAGCTTGCAACTGCCACGTCGAGAGTTGCGACAGTTACGACGTGAATTTAGAAAAAAGAGGAAGCTTTCGCGCGCTCGAGCTTGCTAGTTTTCAAGAATATACCCTGTCGATTGTTCCCAAGCGTTACGTTCACGTCGCCCGTAAACCGGCGCTGTCTATGTATCCTCATTCGATTTCGTATTGTTCCCTTAAGCGATATATATATATATATATATATACAGGGTGCTAAATTTCAAACGTAACAAGTAAAAAATCTCGAAAACTATGGGAGATATTAAAAAGAGCTAAAGTACGTGTTTCATGATTTCGAAGGAGAAAGAGAATGGCATTATCAGTTTTTCATTTGGAGGGCGTTTTCAAGGTCAGTTGAAGGTCAACTTAATTTTTTAAAATAGAAAGCCCAATTTTTTATTACGTCTTCTTTTTCTACCAATTAATTGTAACAACTTTTGTCTGAAACATTTTTTTATTTGCCTAATATTTTTCGAAATATTTAAGGAAAACTTGGTAACTTTTTCAACATTTAACTTACGATATCTCGCTAACTATTCTTCGAAAGAAAAAATAGTATTAGACTTTTACTTTATTTACTATCAAAAATACATTACTGTAACAGTGCCCTATCTTTTGTTAATTTAATAATTTTGAAATTTCCAAAGGTCGACAAGTTAACAAAAGTTAGGGCACTATCATAGTAATGTATTCTTGACAGTAAATAAAGTAAAAGTCTGATACTATTTTTTCTTCCGACAAACAGTTAGCGAGATATCGTAAGTTGAATGTTGAAAAAGTTACCAAGTTTTCCTTAACTATTTCGAAAACTATCTCGAATTTATTAGGCAAATAAAAATATGTTTCAGACAAAGGTTGTTAAAATTAATTGGTAGAAAAAGAAGATATAATAAAAAATTGGGCTTTTTATTTTAAAAAATTAAGTTTTTATTTTAAAAAATTAAGACCTTCAACTGACCTTGAAAATGCCCTCCAAATAAAAAACTGATAATGCCGTTCTATTTCCCCTTCGAAATCATGGAACACGTGTTTTAGCTTTTTCTAATATCTTCCATAGTTTTCGAGATTTTTTACTTGTTACGTTTGAAATTTAGCACTCTATACATACATATATATATTTGTTTTTTCCAGTCTCCTGTGCGCTCCTCGACGCCAGAGAGGATACTTACTACGTATTTTCCGCGGAATACCGCGCTACCTTCCGTAAAATACGAGACGCTCGTTTTTCAATGCTCGAGGAGGCTCGGTCCCGCGAGTGCAGTATGCATTTTCGTGTTCTCCCGCGCGCCGCGCCGCGCCGCGCCGGCACGGCCGGCGTATACGCGATACGCGGCTGCCGACTTTTCATCGGGATCGACTTTAATGACCGACGAGCTCTCTCGGCCAATCGCCAACAAAGAGTGTCGCCTTTTATTTTCCCGTCGACGCACGGGGCGAACGCACACGCAGGAGCGATCGGTGTGTTACGATCGTCAGGATTAAAACCTTTAATCAGCCGCGCGCCATTAACGCACTTTGTTAAAACGGGCGCACGTTGCGGTTCTGCCGCGGAACAAGAGGGAAACATGGAAGGAAAAAGAAAAAGCAAGGGCGACGCAGGAGCGGGAAATCCCGGCGAAAGAGCAAAGCGCCGCATCGCATGCTGAAGTGCGCGCGCGGTCCTTTCGTGTTCTTAGCCGTGTCCGGATGATTATCGAGCGCCCATTAGCACTTGAGCCCGCGCGTTTGCTTATTACGCCCGGATAATCAAAGATGTTGCCCGCTGTCGGCCAAATGGCCACATTAGGAAATTGCACGCTCCGCGCACGCATATCGTTATTCTCTCGCTTCCTCGTTATCTCCGTCTTTGAGGGAGCCAGCGCTTTTTTCACTCACTCGTCGATACAGCAGCCGCGTGCTCACCGCGAGGAATCCTCCATGGATACCACATTTGTTTGTTACGAAAATGCGAAATCATTAATATCTTGCTCCTGTTGGCGCCATTAGTTTCGGAAACGGGATATCAGAGGCGGCAAGATTTATTTATTATCGCGCTTTGCGTCGCTGCGAACGCATCCTCGAGAAACGCGTGTGATTACGCGAATGATAATCGAGTTGTACGGTTGCGTCAGAAATCGCGCATTCCTGACTGAATTCGTGTACAGCGAAGGAAAAAGGAAAAGGAGAAAAGAAAAGGAAGAAGTCCGCGATCTTCGTTTACAATTTTCTTTTCTTCTTTCTTTCTTTTTTATTTCTTGGAGATGAAGTGAAGTTTTCGTCTGTTTTCTTTATTTCTACCAAATTGAGCAAATTATTCCACGAGAACTGAATCCTCTCTTTAGAGAAGGAAAAGAGCACTATTACTCTGTTTACTAAACGCGTCTATTACCGTTATTCCCAGTAGGCTCCGTTAATCCCTGCCGCACATACTTAAAACGGAGGGAAGTGCAGCTGTTTGCACAGCTCCGCCGACGCTGTTAGCGAAGTTGTCGTGTGAAGGAGTCCAAACTAGAAACGGTGGCAGTCCTCGACGGACCGTAGACGTGACCGGAAGCCCTTTGTTCACCTGATTGCCGAACAACGTGGAAACTACTCATTAGCTTAGCAAATAATGCTCTCCTGGGCGCAGTTCTAACCTTTGATTAAACATTCGCTCGTCACCGCCGACACTATCTCAGCTACGTCTGTGCTATAACACCTTTAACCCCGAGAGCGCTTAATTCACTTAGCGGATATTTATCGTCGGGCGGTTGAATGAAATACCGTCGTCTGCTCGCGGAAGTTGAAAAATTGCGCGAACAAGTACATCAAGTGTGTCGTCTCGCAACTTTCTCATTCTCGTTGCAACTCTCATTTGCATCCAAGACGGATGTATCCGTTCATTTCCTATTCCTTTATCTCCTATTCCTTTATTCGGCCGCCACAAAAGGCTTTTTCAAATCGCGCTTTCTCAAGCTAGCCGTCGCACGATACGCGATTTCTTGTCGTCTGACGTGCATACTGACCGACAGACTGTAGGCAGCTCCGTCTATTCCATCGATCGTCACCCTACATTGGCAGATCTACGCAGTGAACTCAGCTGAATGCGGTACGCCTGTCAGCATGCGTGTCAGGAAGCATGACGGGGTGCATCCGTAGACATAGGAATATAGAGACAGAGCATAAGCCCGTAAGATAGGCGAGGGGGGAGTTGTGCTGAAATGCGGGGGGCGACTGTGCCTAAGTTTCATTGGCTACAATAGCATATTCAGAGCGTGCGATGCAACGACTTGGCTGTCAATGGCGAATAGTAAATGTAACAAAATGATGACAACTATTTACACCGGCAGTATTTGGCAGAGGTTATGCATGCGTCCTTTTTTTTCATAATTTCACTCACACACAACTTCATACACATCAATGGGTGCATTCAGTGCTACAACCGCTCACTGAGCGCTCAATGAGCTTTCACATTTGATTGATATATTCCTTTAGATTTAAAAATATCCAACCAATCAGATGCAAGAGCTCACTTAGCGCTCAGTGAGCTTTCACATTTGATTGGTATATTCCTTTAGATTTAAAAATGTCCAACCAATCAGATGCAAGAGCTCACTTAGCGCTCAGTGAGCTTTCACATTTGATTGGTATATTCCTTTAGATTTAAAAATATCCAACCAATCAGATGCAAGAGCTCACTTAGCGCTCAGTGAGCTTTCACATTTGATTGGTATATTCCTTTAGATTTAAAAATGTCCAACCAATCAGATGCAAGAGCTCACTTAGCGCTCAGTGAGCTTTTACATTTGATTGGTATATACCTTTAGACTTAAAAATATACACCAATCAGATGCAAGAGCTCACTTAGCGCTCAGTGAGCGGTTGTAGTACTGAATGCAACTCTATGCTCTGTCCCTATATTCCTATGTCTATGAGTGCATCGTGTGACATTAGCTTTACCAAAGATGGATCGAATCACGAAAATCATGTATTCTCGATTAGAATTGTTACTCTCAGGCAGCTTCGAAGTCAACTTCGAAACTTCGAAATTTTTTATGCCGAAGCTTCGAAGACTAGTCTTCGAAGATATTACTCTTCGAAGCTTCCAGATATTCAAAACTTCGAAGGATGCGGGGCGATTGTTTCCGAGCCTGCGTTCTTTGTTTCTGCATGCACGCATTGCATGCTAGGCCATCTGAGTCATACATATATTCTACATTCCATGGATAAGAAAAATATCGGCGGCTTGTGGTTCGACTTCGAACACCTTTCAATTCTCGAAATTTCGAAGTTCGAAGACCGAAACTTCAAAGATTCGATGCTCCGAAGCTTTGAAATTTCGATCGTCGAATATTTCGTATCGAAGTTTCGAATACGAAGACTTCGAAGAAAAATTACGCCTCTATTCTCGATCCGTTTTATGACGTTTCACATTGATCTTAAGAAAACAAATGGTCATACGAGAACATTCTTTTTTCCAAATTTTC